TCTCTCTCTCTCTCTCTCTCACACACACACACACACACACACACACACTCATTTCTATGGGGAAAACTCTAATCCCAAAATGACAACCTTAACCCCTACCCAGCCTTAACCTTAACCACAAGTAACCAAACAAAATACAAGACTTTTGGCATTTTTTTGGTTGCAGTCACAGATTTTTATCAAATCGAGGTTACCCATGTCCCCACAAGGTAAAAAGTTACAGGTTTTTATCATATTGTGGGGAACCGGTCCCTACAATCTAGCAATTACAAAAGCACATGTAGACTCACACACACTCACTCACTTGCAGTTTTAATAAGCGAGGGTCAGGTTTGATGTCACCAGATCCAATCTAATCATAACTCCCCCTGGCTGATATTACAGTCTCTCTGTGTTACTCTGTGGAGGGGCTCCAATGTAACAAAAGAATTAGTCAACTTTATAAAGCTTCTGAATGTCTCAATAAAGACGATCTGAGCCTGCAGAGACCCCGGTCACTGGCCATAAATTACACGTGTGGGAGGACAAACAAATCACTCCTCTGTTTATAGATTTACTTACAGAAGCACTGAAGGTCACTCAGTGCTATAAATACTTCGATCTGACACCCAAATGTCAATACTGGCAGCGTATATGAGTATGAGCTATTCTTGATTAATTTAAGGAGAATTAGCTGGGACAAAGAGCAGTAACTTCTTAATGACTGACCGTGATTGCGGTTCCTCTATGAAGTCTCTCTGAACTGAACAGGGCGGTTCTGTTTAAAGGGGCAGCGGCTAATATTTCATCATTAAAGCATCTCCACCGCTGACCGTGGCTGCACTCTGTCACCTGGGCCACACTGGCCCCACAGAGCTGCCCTGATTGATCCGTTTCTGCTTCAGTGATCTGGTACAAGCAGCACAGTGCCGGCCGGTGCCAGATTAGGAGCATCAATCTAATTAGGGACAGAAATTAACAGCAAGACAAACCAACTCCACCATGCTGCTTTAAAGGCAGGCCTGTTCCCCAACACAAGGCAGGCCTGTTCCCCAACACAAGGCAGGCCTGTTCCCCCAACACAAGGCAGGCCTGTTCCCCAACACAAGGCAGGCCTGTTCCCCAACACAAGGCAGGCCTGTTCCCCAACACATGGCTAGGATAAGAGACACTCTGGGGAGACATTTTGGGAGATATTGTAGTCATATTACAGAAAGACACCTTAAATTCGGTGATAATATGGTATCTTTGGTAAAGCAGTAAATTTTGTTTCAAGATCCAGAATTCAGATGTCTATAGTTAGCCCTCAATCAGCACTGAGTTATTATTTTACTGAATATGAGTGTCTGTGGCACAGGGGCCGCCAAAGACTTTGGGCCCCATGAACTAACATCGCACCGGGCCCCCAACCCCCTGAGGGCCCCTTGGAATCACCCTAACCTCCCCCCTCCACCCCCCAGTATGGCACCCCTGGAGCACATGATCGGCATCATGGACAAAATCATGAAGAGTTTCTTAGCCTTCTACTTGAAGCATCTTCACGCGGTTCTCTACATCCTTAAGATAGCCGCCATCTCGATTTCCAAAACAACTCCCCGGCTGCCCTCCGCCACGGCACCGGTATGGCTGTGGTTCTGTAGGCCTTCTCATCCGGCACCCTCAGCCCGTGCCCTTTACATGTAGCTCGCCGGAATGGGACCTGAATGCTGGGTTTGAGATGAGCTACTTCTCAGAGCTGAACACGCCCATGTGGGGATCAGGCGCCGTGAGGTAAACGCCACAGGCTGTATGCCTGGTAAAGTCTGACTCTCTGCGTGTC